CCGAGCACTCAAATGAAGGAGCCAAATAAAAGTTTTTATGGTTTCTCATGGTTTATGTAAAAAGGCGAGTTGATTAAGTCTAGTTTAATCAATTTATATGCTTTAGACATGTACAGTAAACATTGGCATTTCATATCGTTATTGGGTGCTTTAATAATATAATTGCTTATATGTTACGTCATTGTGTACATAACAATCTGGTGAATCAGTTGTTTGAACAAGTTCATTGAAATGAACTGTCCGAAAGAACCAGTTCCTGTAAAAAATAAGACATCCTGTTTGCCTGAGGCCAATGGGGTATATATCGAACGTCACCTGACCAAACCCGGAAAACAGGTCCATCGCTTCCGCTTGTCGGAGAACGTGCTAACAGCCGTAATAAATAATAGCGATATCTATGGACTTTTAAGATAATCAGTTAAACTAGCTAGCTGTTTTTATTGTTGACGTTAATGAAATTAAAACAATTATAAATCATTTCAGCAAAAAAAGAATAGAATAAATAAAAGCACAAGTTCTTGGAAAGTATGTATAAGGTGTCAATTATAAGTAAGTACTGTGTTAAAGCTTATAATAGCACCAATTGAATCAACACAAACAACATTTCTGAGGAAAAATATGAACTATAAGTCAATTTACACTTATTCTAAGTTAGATCCACTATTGTATGCTGTTGCCGTATGGCAACATATCATAAAGTACCTTAAAAAAATATTTTTTTCCACATTTTTTTTTACAGCACTTCAAGTTAAGCCATTCTTAGAAAAGAAAAAGATTCAAATATTTTTTTCTATAGGTCTATCATAATGCGTGCGGTAGAGGGTTAAATTAAGTAAAACTGCTTCATATTTAACAAGGCATAGCCTATGCAAAACGCTTGAACCGGACCAGGTTAACAGAATATGGAAGTCTGTTGCACATAAAGTTCAGTTTCTTGCACAGACCGATCATTTTGCTTCAGAAGACCTCAAGATATCACCAGGAGCCACGGGTATTAATTTTGTGTTGCCTGATATGCTTTTTTTTTTTTTTTTGAGTCTCAAAGTGCTGGTAGCCGTTTACTTAGTTTTATGAATAACCATGGACAATGGTTTCAGCTAAAAAAATCATCTTTACTCTTCTTCTACTTAAGAAAAAAAGTCACCTATATCTTGGATGGCCTGAGGTTGAGTAAATAAACTGCAATTTTTCGTTTTTGGGTGAAATATCCCTTTAATCTGGATTATGCGAGTCGGACAGATCCGAAAAGATCCACTTTCTCTGACTGACTCGCACACCCCTGATTCAATTCAATTCGTAAAAGAATCGTTCAGACCGGTTTTGTTCAATCATTTGAATAAAAAAAAATCCGACTCAAGAGAACGACTCGTTCACATCTTTGTTAGCCTACATACTTGGCCTTTACCTGTAGCATGCGATATAGAATGCGTACTGTAATGTAAAGTGTGACAGTACTTAATTATTAATTTAATTTGTGTCTGATATTCCTAAACTACTTACTCTATTGTTTTTGTCCGTCTCCTGGACGTCCTCCTCCGTAACACCTTGTCTAATCATGAGTTTCACTATAAGAGCGTTGTTGTTGCAACACGCTTGGAAAAAGGACAGCGGTGCGGGACTCTCCGGGGAAGGGGTTCTCTCGGAGTCAACAAAGTCATCGTCCGGTGGATAAAAGGAGTCATCTGAGACGATACTCCTGTTATCCGGCAGTTCAGAGAAGTCATCCAACTCCTCGAAGTCCTCATCCAATTTAACCGAGCCAAGATATTCATCATAATCGTCATCGCCCGCGCGATCAGGTGATTCCTCCACGTTAGTGGGACAGACCGGGGCGCTTTTAGCAGGTCTAAGTGGTTTAACCCTTCCTGGAGATGATCCTCCGCCATCCCTGCTGTCCGTTATCAGAACCATTTAACCCCAATAGGATAAAATCCTCAAGTCACCTCCTGGTCTCCTTCAGCTGCATTTAGGTAGCCTACGTTAAAAACATAGATACCAAACGAGCAAAAATGCTATTTTAAAAAGCGTTTAATCTCCAAACGGAGGTTCAAATCTTTTGGGTATCCGCGACTTCATTTTCCCCCACTCAAAGCAAGTGCAATTGGTGTCCATGTAATAATAACGTACCGTAGTTTTATCAGCTCATTTTGATAACTGCTGACTCTATAACGCCACTGTCAATGTAGTGTTCATAAGCAGCACCCGGCGACGATCAGAAACGCATGTGGAAACCGAAAACAAGTAGATTTGCAGTTCCATGTAATATGAAAGTCTTCAGAATGTCGCAATTTGTTTCCTGGAGAAACTTTTCAGATATTGTGATGTTCCAAACAAACAGCATTGAGGGTGGAAGCGATGGACATTCCCCGCAGAAGATAAGTGAGAAATAGACGCGTGCGTTACAAAACTCTGCCTCCATAATCCGATTAGATGCCCTCCTCCCTCTCTCTCTCTCTCTCTCTCTCTCTCTCTCTCACACACACACACACACTACTTTTTCTTCCTCCCTCCCTTTATATATTTTTGCATATATGGGTCAATAACAATTTTCTTCTTCCCTAAACTATTAGTTATTTAAAAATATACTAAAATACTAATATTTAAAATTACATAAAACAGTTTTCTCTCATGAAAAGTAAATTTCCTTTATTATTTTGATATTTTTGTAGGTCATAATTGTTTAGGTGATGTAACTGTCATTTGTTATTAAAAAAAAAATGAAAAGAGCGACGGCGAAAGAAAAAAATTTTTTTGGGAAAATATATATTAAATTTATACATTTTTATATATTAAATATATAAATATATTCTTAATTTAATTTCTTTATATGAACTAGTGAACACAAAGCTGCTGAAACTTATTTCTGGAAAGTACTAAGTTTTGTATACCATCATCATGGGTTTTTTTTTTTTCTCTCTGTTCAGTGCTTGTGGCTGTGTTGGGGATGTCCCTGTGTGACAGTATACCAGAGTAATTAATCAACTTTCTGACACTTTTGGTCCTTTGTTAGACTTCACATATAACAAAACCTTGGATGGTCTCATAGTCATCTCAGCTCTCTTCGCTAAAAAAACTAAAAGAACTAAAAGCTAAAAGAACTGCAGTTCTTTTCAGATGATGTCATTCACATTTCAGTTCTGAAAACAAGCACAGCACTTTCAATTTCAGATTTACACCTTTTTTAGGGAAGTTACACCATACACACACCGACGTTGTGTGCTAATGTGTGTGCTCTATTGCAAGCCCAAGCGTTTTCCACAATCCTCAGACACAAACACTCCCATTTCCTTGGAGTTCTAAGATAAGTGCCTATTGCTGTGACTAATTAGTGAGTCATTTAGCCCCGAACAGCCGGGAGCTGGGGCTCCATCCCCTCCACTTGCAGCTGTGATCTTATCAGTCAAACATACGTACAGTGCAGCAGTCCACACTGCTTTGTATGCTCGTGTTCGACCGTTACACATCTGTTATAGAGGAAGTACTGTTTGTTTTAAAAACCAACCAAGTAAACTGTACTGCCAAAAATGAATCATTATCTAACTGCCAAAGCATGACTATCGTTTTACAGTCAGTGACACAATGGCACTTCTGCAGCATTTCACTCTCCATTCTGTCCTGTATATTGTACTATATACTCTGCACAACTATACTACACGGTAGCCCTGTAATATTAATTATAATATTTATAATATTTATCCATTTTACAATTGACAGCATTTGGGGCATAATGCTGATTACCACAAAAAAATATATATTTCTACTTGTCCTTCTTTTAAATAAATAATTACATTTTACAAATCTGGGTTACAGTGAGGGGCTTACAGTGGAAGTGAATGAGGCCAATCCATAAACAAAATACTGTTTCAGTACTATAGCCACAAGATATGAACAGCATGAGTGTTAACATCATTTCAGGGGGGAAAAATCACTTACATTTTCTGTAAAGTTATATTAAATTTTACAAATTCCAGTTTTACAACCAAACCCCACAAACCCTAACCCCCCAAAATGGTTGTTAAAAAGGATGATTAAAATATCTGTACATCTCAAATAATAAACAAATTTCAACAGAAGCATGATTGTAAGTGCTAATAGGTTGGGGTTTTTATAACCAACTGTCATCTCTCTTAGAAATGAGAGATACCATGCTGCTCCTTGGCTACTTCGGCTTAGACAATTACATTAGCTCAGCACTCTGGCCTGCTTAGGTTGATAAATCCTCAGAAGCCGATCAAGAAGGGAGAACTTCATGCTGAGTAAAGTTTATCTGGTATCTACTGTAAATCATCCAAAAGCACTTAGAATAGATCATTGACCAGCAAGCTTTGATATTAACTGTCCTGGTGAGATGATGTCTGTATCAAGCCATGATTTTTGAGTCAGTTTCTACTTTTAAACCGTTTTAGATTGTTATGCTTGCTGAAAATATTTTTTCATAAAAAAGCAAACAACTGGTCAGTACTGTAGGCTGTCAATCTATAATTAGCTTGATTACTGATGGGTCAATCAGTTCATTTCAGAGAAAATGTTGAGAATAGCCTTCATTAACAGGTCTGTGAAGGTTGAGTAGCTCCTTTTGGTTTTCTAAATTAGTACACAGCCTCTTTCCATCCTCAAAAAGGCAATTAATCAGACTAACTGGGTGACTGTTGCCTGTTGCTGCAGTGCCACTGCTTTTCTGAAACACAAGACAAATGTGCAGTACAATGCAAGGACAAAAATGTGATTTAGTAGTTCATGTCATTGTTTCTAATATAAAAAGATTATGTGTGAATGTTTAAAGTACATACAGAATATGGCTTCTTTCAAATAGAAGCACATGAAAACCACAATAAGTGAGGTAATAGAGTTTTGAAAACCCCAACCTATAGTATCAAAGGGAAAACTGTAAATCGCTTGCATAAGCACCTAATATTCCAGTGGCCTTGTTTTGTCTTCTTTCACTTTTGCAACATTATTCCAGGCAAGCTAGATTTGAGATTCAAGGATTTATTTGGGTGAAATAATCAGATCACATCATAATATACAGGATAAAGAGGGCAAACACAAGACACAGTAACTAGGATCAATAGTTTTCGAGCGTGTTGTGAGATATCACCACCTGAGGACCATTTGAACTGGATTTTACTCAGGCTTCTCAGCACTGTGGAGGCTTGTAAAATTTGAAGGTTGCACCATTCCTCCTTGGCATTCTCTGAAAGCAGGAAAAACAAAGTTTCCAATTAAATGTCTACAAATGTCATGTGTAATCTGTTTTTTCATCATGACAGGAAATTGCTGCATCCAAGTCGGCCGGATCTTCTGAAACAACTGTTCTTGCTTTTTAATTGTTTACTAACCTCCTCTTTTCAATTCTCTTTTACTTTCATTTGCTTTAGATTTATCATCATTATTCTAAAACACACACTTGTGACATTTCTTTATTCTTGCTTCAGTGTCTGTAATATTGACTCACTAACATGCTTCCAAACATTTGCGTATTCACAGGAATGGACTACTTTTTTTCTCTAGAGATCCTGTTTCTAGGAATACTAATAGATATTAGTGTTTGTATGACATTGTAATAAAGATAGGTAAATGTGATAAGAATCAGCTTATAAGAATTCTTTTGAATTGGAGTTTAATTTGTAGTTGTCTTATCACATTGAAGATCTGAGCTTCTTCGTGTACACAGAAGCAAACATTTACTTTGCTTCTGTGTTTGTTGAGAGTTTAAAAAAAAAAAGCACAGTGGTAAGGTAGGGTTGGTTTAGTGGTATCAGTGACTGGTACACACATACAGACATGCAAAGCAGCAGAAAAGGACTGTTTTCTGTTTTCCTGTTGTTACAGTGACATCAGTTTGTTAAGACTTAAAGGGACAATGCACCCAAAAATGAAAATTCCTCACATTCATGTCATTCCAAACCTGTGACTATCTTCTGTTAAACACAAAAGATGATCTTTTGAAAAATGTTTCAATATACTTACAGGCCCTATCTACTACGCTGTACCAACTGTGACAGTCCATGTCCATTTTTTAAATTCATAATTTAAATAACATAAATTACAAAAGTGTCAGTTGGTCTTTTTCATTTCAGCCTTTAAAGGTGCTGAAAACCTATGAAAAAACATATTAAATGTCCTTCCAAGCAGAACTGGTAAGTACAAAGCATCTACTGATGTATTGTCTGCATGCCAATTAAATAGACTAAATTAATGTTTGTACTAAAAATGTAATAATTATAAAGCGGTTGATTTATAACATGTAAAGTCATACAGCAGAAATGCCAGTTAAATAATCTGGGACAGCCAAATATATAACAATACTGTACATAGGCTTTTGACCAGAATATTAACTATCAAGATGAATTGGTGGTCATGATAACATGATTCAAGCAAAGTGGGGCATAGAGGAGAAACAATAATGTACAGTATGTGGAAAAAATTTTGTTTTTTTAATCTTAAACCACATAAACACATTTCATTACACCAAATACACAAAATAATGCTCTTTTTAGCAACATCATATGACCCCTTTAATAGTAAAATAGATAAATAGATAATATGTGCTAAGCTGTTGAACTGAGTTAAAATGTCTTAAAAACATTTAGCTAAAATAGAATACAGGGGATAAAATCATGTTTCTTTGAATGCTACTTATAAAGATGATTGCTGTTGGTGTGCTGGTAAAGTATGACAACAAAACCACCCACAGGACACAAATTCTTATAATGCAATGATAATTTCTGGTATTGTTTCTGCAGTTATAGACTGAATTGTCTTAAGTGTAAAGAAAATAATGGTTCAGATTTTTGTCTTGTATTATGCAATTATTGCATCACGTGATGTTTTAAATCATGTCCGTACCTTCTCAATTATTGTTTGAAGTAGTTTTGAATATAGAACAGTTTTTTTTTGGTTCAAAGAAAGAAACAACAGAAGGCTTTGTATTTTCACAGGTGTAAATTCTAACAAAAAAGTCTTGAAGATGCCTCAAGGAGCAATGTCAAAGCCATTAATTTTATTCCTTATCACTTGTCCTCCTAAAAGACCTCTTTGGCAACAAAGGTAAAACAGAAAAGAAATTGTCACCTTCAAAAATGTGTCTATTTCGTTCAATAAAGCCTCTTATTGCTCATTTTGTCTCAAACGACCTGCTGTCAGAATGATTCAGTATTTCACATTTTTTGCTCCACAATTGGGCACCTTTGATCATACAATTTTTCTTTAGTTTTTTTCCAGGGTAATATGAAAAAAAAAAATTAACCATTAAACTAGTAGCATTAAAAATAATACTTTAAATTTGTTTTAAGACTTTAAGACAGTGTTTTACGGTAAATTAAGCTGAATGCATTTGTGTGTGTACTCACGCATACTCCTCTAAACTATGCAAGAAGCTGTCGATCTGTTCTTTAGGAATTCCTCCATCCAGATGTGCCAAGTATGTGTACAGACTCTGAAACGTGTCAAAAGGAATTTGGGCTGCACCACCCTCAGGGTCCTCTGTGAGTATTTCACATGCGTGTTTTAAAGCACTTGTGATGGTCTGTGGGAAAAGTACAGTAGACATTCTTTCAAAACATACATTTTCGACATTGTTTAGCAAACTTTGAATGAATTACACCTATCATTGTGTGTATCATCGTCTTTGTGAATCTAGTTCTTGTTCAACACCTTGAAATTGGAAACCATTTAAAATCCAACACTGCCATCTAGAGCCAGTTAGTAGAATTACATTTACAACATCTCAAATGAAGCCACCACCACACAATATAATTAAAGGAATAGTTCTCCCAAAAATAATTACAAAATCTACTGAAAATTTACTCACTCTCAGGCCATCCAAGATGTTGATGAGTTTGTTTTTTCATCAGAACAGATTTGGATCGATTTAGCATTACATCACTTGCACACCAGTGGATCCTCTGCAGTGAAAGTGTGCCGTCAGAATGAGAAAAGCTGATAAAAACATAAGTAATCAGCACGGCTAAAGTGCATCATTTAATGTCTTGTGAGATGAAAAGCTGCATGTTTTAAATATACAAATCCATCAAGGCGTTTTAACTTCAAACCGTTGATTCCATAACTCCATAATTATGGATTATGAGCTCATATTTTGGCCAGAAATTATGGTTTAAATGCCTTAATGATGGACTGGAGTCCCACAGATTAATTGTGGATTACTGTAATGTTTTTTCAGCTGTTTGAACTCTAATTCTGATGGCACCCATTCACTGCAGAGGACCTATTGGTGAGCAAGTGATGTAATGCTAAATTTCTCTTCCGATGAGGAAACAAACTCTTCTACATCTTGGATGGCCTGAGGGTGAGTTAATTTCCAACAAATTCTCGTTTTTGTATGAACAATTCCTTTAATGTACTGTTAAATACACAGTTAGATATTTATAGCCACTCACCCCACCCAAAGCACTGCATCCTAAAGCAAAAAACTGCATCCAAATGATATTTTCACTGAAGTTGCCAAGAGCAAGGATTGTGTCAAGCTGATCAATAGGTAAGCACAGGCCTTTCCACTTCTGAAGAAGCTCCTCTTTTGTAATGATTTCTTTTGGTGTGAACTACATGCGAGAGAAATTTCATTAATATTCATAAAAATGCATCTACTGTACTGTGTATAAAACATACAAAAGAGGTACAGTGGATCACACCTGTTGATGAAGGATCTTTAGAAGGTCTGGTGTAAGCCCTGTGTCTCCTTTCTGAGTTGCCACTGGCATTTCAAGCCTCTCCTTGACTGGTAGGTCCTGACCTTTTGATAATGCTGAAAAATAGCTGAAAGAAAAAGCAGTTTTATTGTTGTTATTTGTCTTTATTATATTTCCATTGCCATATAAAACATACATTATATATAATGCCAATCTAATGCAGTATCATAGTACACTTCTTAAAAAAGCAACACTTACTCAGCTGCCCATTGCAGCACATCATGTGGCTGTGTCTTGATTGCAGCTTTTGTGAACTGCTTTAAAATATCAGGCAGCTCTGGAGGGATGTTGATCTGCTGGGCGCAGTACATTGTTTCAGGAGGAGGCATCACTTTAGCTTGTATTTTAAGATAATGACAGGAAGAAGGTGAACACAAAAGAGCACAAAAAGACATTGGGAAGTCAGAATATCATTCAATACATGCAATACGAAAAAATGGCCCAGTCAGCATCTTTTCCAGAACTACACACTAATAGCCTACATGACTAGAAAATTTTGTTACTTACATTTTCAAGTTGAACTACATAGCATTTAATCTAAACACACAAAAGAACCTACCGTTTTAAGGTTATTTTAAATACAGAATTGTAGCTAAGTCCTTCTTTGTAAATGTGGCCTAATATAAACGTATATGGTACCATATGTATACTATATAGTACAGTATAATATTTACTATTTTGCCATCTTATAAGACAACAGCGACTTGCATCTCTGTGTTTTTCATAGCAACGGGTTGTTTGTAAGCATCGCCTAGAAACCAAAAAGTCCTCCGAGATCTGATTGGCCAATGCCAGCAAAGAGGGCGTAAACTAGAGCTTTTGTTGCCATGTCCATTGATTCTAAGTCACTTGTTTTTTCCTCTTATAAATAGCAAAGTGGATGGTTGATTATTTAAAAAAATAATAATAATAAATACTTTTTTTTTTAACGGTTTTTGGGTTTGCTATTGCTTGGCTCCTCATCCAATGATGCGCTAATCTGATGCTTTTGCTTGAGAGATATTTTAATCGATGTCGACTGTGTGAAAAAATATTAATGTTAATTAAAATGTTAATGTTTTGTGAAAGGAAAAATGACTATTGAAAATAAATTATTTTGAAAAGTTTAGCCTCGATTTATTATTGTTTTATTATCTAATATGTCTAAAACAATCGCTCGGTTTGGTTTTGTTTCGTTTTAACCGAGTTGCTCTTGCGATATCTGGCAACACTTAAAAGCGGAACAGTTCCATTAACGTCTACATTTGTTTAAAATCAACTTTTTTTCATTTGGTATATTTGCAATATACTTTTAATCGTTTTCTACAAACATAGCAAACGGGTAATGAAGGATTGATGAGAAAGTTTCATGTCCTTATAAATTTTCATGAGCACAAGACTTGGACTTCCGAGAAAGTAGCCTACAGTCCGCGTTTACAGCCTATGCAAAGTGAAAACTTGCTTAAAGGTCGTGTAAAGCTACGTGTCGTTTGTTCCTGGTAGCTGTGTTCAGCTGTATTTGGGTTAGAGTTTTCTTAGCCTAACTAACCAGCAACTAACGTACATGCCTGAGGTCTTTGCAAAACAATGGATGTTGAAAAGTATTTGGCACGTGTCGGCTGTTCGGGACCATGTCCTCTGACATTGGAGACGTTGCGATACGTTCACCTGAATCACTTAATGACAGTTCCCTTTGAGAATCTCACCATTCATATCGGAGAGCGGGTCAGGCTTGAGTTGCCACTTTTATATGAAAAAATCGTCGTCATGCGCCGTGGAGGATTCTGCTATGAGAATAATGGGCTCTTCTCATGGCTTCTGTCTCAGATGGGCTTCGACGTGACTATTCTCTCCGCACAGGTCAGGAATCGGTTCACCAGTGCTTACGGACCTCCGTTTGACCACTTCATCATGATGGTGAGGCTGGATGGACACAGATGGCTCTGTGATGTAGGGTTCGGATCCGGATTCCAGCTCCCTCTCTCTCTTGAGACCGACAGTCCTCAAGTCCAGAGCCACTGAGTGTATCGCCTCAGATCTCAGGGAAACTTAATTTTCATGGAAATGAATTCTGAGACTGAAGTATCAGGGGTTGGAGAAGAATGTTGGACGGAACTGTACAAATTCACCCTGGAGCCACGTGAAAGAGATGATTTCAGAGCCATGTATGATTACCATCAGAGTTCTGCCAGCTCGATTTTCTTCTGCAAGTCTCTCTGTTCACTCTTACTGCCCACTGGAAGAATCACAATCAGGGGCCGCAGACTGATTATAACCAGTCTGTCCTCAGTGGATGGACAACAAGCTACAAAAACCACAACAGATCTTTCAGATGAAGAAATCACAGAGTTGTTGAGAGAAAAGTTTGGAATTGTTCTTCATTCTCCACTCACTCCAAAAGATGTTGAGATTGTACCACCACCAGTTACTTATTGATTGTTTGTTAGGTCTCTCTTGCTTTTTAAGTATGTCTATTGATTTTTTTCTCTTCATTAAACACACGAGGAAGAAATATTAAATTGCAAATGAAATTACTTTGTGCTTTAGTTCTTGTATATAGGCTATTACTCAGGCCATGAATGTAATTGTAATTATTTATATGTCTATGTAGATTAAGTTTTGAAGTGCCTTTTCCAATTAATAAAATGATTTTAAGTACATTTATATTTAAGCATCAGACAAATTATGTCTTTAAGTGTTAATAAATTAATAACATTTTGAATTAAAATGAAGTTACTGAAATTTTGTTGATGTGTTAAGAAAATGCATGGAATTCCAGCAAAGGTGTGAGCTTCATTGTTCCAGTGTTATTTTAGTGTTCTCTATATACTATTAGTATTTATTCATATTTAGAATTAGCTTTTATATATATATATATATATATATATATATATATATATAGTTTTAGTAATTTTGTTATGTGCTTTTGTAATTTAAATATTTATATTTTGCTTTAATTTATTTTTATTTCAGCTTTAGTTTTGATAATAGTAATTTTAAAATAGTATGAATTTTAATACTTAAACTTATATTAGTTAGTTGTCAAGGCAACATTTTTGATTTTCAAAGTTTTCATCTAACTTTTATATTTTATTTTACATCACCTTTATTTAAATGACCGAAAACGATGTTTAATAGTTTTAGTTTTACAATAACAACATTATTCAAGTCATTACACATGAGGGACACAAAAGATATGAAAAACGTAACATCTAATTTTTAATACGGCCCAGGTAATAATGCTTTGATCAACAGCTAAGAGAATGTGAGATTCATTATTCTTTACAAAAACGTTTCGAAATATTTACACGTCGCTGAGAAGTTTGTCCTCGCAGGCCTGCCGTAGCAGAACGTTGTTCTCAAGAAAAAATAATGCCAAATCTTGGGACAATAGTCAAGGTAAAAGATACTCTTTTTTTTCATTACATAAATTCAAATTATGGAAGTACGGTTGTATTTTTGTTTGTAATTAATTTAGATAATTATGCATAATAAGAAAGCTGAGATTATACAGTAAAGCGTTTGTCCTAAGGATGCGCATAGAGTGGCAGCAGTGATGTAGCTAAGCTAACTGGAGCTTATTAGTAATTTATGCATTTAGAAGACGCTTTTATCCAAAGCGACTACAGTGTATTCAGGCTATACATTTTTTTACCAGTATGTGTGTTACCTGATAGTGTTTTTGTATTTTTATATTATTATATTTAAAAAAAAATAATTATTATTATTTTGCCTCATGATTCTATAATATTGTAGTTTTCTCGTGAATTATATTATACTGGAATTCTAGAAAATTCTCTTCTGAGAGTGATGTGCCTCATCTTGAATCATTGTGAAACTGATGTTTTAGTGCAACTCATATGCCTTTGTGTTTGTTTTTGCTCCCTTGTAATGCTGTTTGGTAATTTAAGTTGTCTAGTACTTGTACATAATATATGAATACATCGTTTGCTTTGTTTCTAAGGTTATTATGGCGTGTTTCATGTTTGTTTCCTCTGCCCTTCCTTGTTGAGGTGGTGCTGCCCATGGCAGTGCCCGGAGCCCTTGGCCTGATGTCTGCCACTGTTTTTGCTGCAAGCGAGGCCAAAGAAAATAACACCACTCTAATGACTAATGAGGTACTTCCTGTGTACTGTGTTTTGGGTTGGTGTGGGGTAGAACGAGGAGGTCATTGGCATGATGTTGAAGGGTTTTTACAATACCCCTATATTTTTCAGCTTTCACTCTATGACACACCTGAGTCCCAGCTGAGGTACGAGGAGCCCGAGGTCGGTACTGTTGAACAGGGTGTAGCATCTCTGAGGAAGACAGTGGAACCTTATGTTTCATGGTGTGAGGTATGCTGTTGTACTGACAGTGCTCAGTGAAGTGATTCAAAAGAAAATCATGGCTTTTAGAAATGCTGAATTTTGTTAACACAGTGTACTCAACACAGACACATAAGATGTTATACGTATAATACATGTGTATCTTCTCCATATTTTATGCATTATACATTATCATAATGTTTAGTTTATGGTTTTCATGATTTCTTTATGATTCTTTTCCACCTCTAGGAAAATACACATTTTGCCGTGGAGAAAGTACAGGCAAGTTATGTTCATTTCTAGCCACTTCACAATCATTATGCTCATAATTCATCACTGTGATACTGAATTAATCTGTAATATCTCTTATACCTTAATGTTTCTCTCTTTCAATCATAGTCTTACTACAAGACAGTTGAGCCTGGTGTGAATACCACCCATAGTATTGTAAAAGGTACGGACACAAACATACACTCATCTATACCAGGGGTTTTCGATTTTTGATGCCACAGACCCCCATATACAGTGGGTACGGAAAGTATTCAGACCCCCTTAAATTTTTATCTGCAAGAGGGAATGGCAGAGGATCCCCAAATCCATGTGTGAAAAACTTGTTGCATCTTTCCCAATAAGACTCATGGCTGTATTAGATCAAAAGGGTGCTTCTACTAAATACTGAGCATTTTTCAGTTTTTCTTTTTTAATAAATTTGCAAAAATGTCAACAATTCTGTGTTTTTCTGTCAATATGGGTTGCTGTGTGTACATTAATGAGGAAAAAAAAATTAACTTAAATGATTTTAGCAAATGGCTGCAATATAACAAAGAGTGAAAAATTTAAGGGGGTCTGAATACTTTCCGTACCCACTGTATAATCATACTCATGTGAAGGACTCCTATCATTAAGTTTAGAATGCAGCTATAGATTTAATGTCAAAAATAAATATGAATTAATAATTTAATTAGATTTATAAGTTTTTATAGTCCGTATAATGCTGTAGTGTTATATGTATTTTTATTTGTTTATTTTAATCAAATTTGTATTATTTATTTATTTAAATTTACTTAATCTATTTATGTTTTTAAATTTGTTTTAGGATTATTTTTAATGTTTTTGTTATTTATTTATTTATATCAAAGTTTTATTTTAATCTATTTTTTATGAATTTCAAGCAATATTTTTTTTAAATCTACTTTTTTATTGTTTATTTATTTTAACTTTTTTGTTTTTACACTGTTTTTCTCAAACATTTCCATGGTTATATGAAACAGCATTGCATTTCTTTTTTTTCAGATATGTATGCGTTTTTGAATGACCCTCCATCTGAGTTCTATGCCAGTGTGGGTGTTATAGGATTCTCTGGAATTCTGGGACTTTATTTAGCAAAAGGTATGATTATTGCTCCATTATTATGAAATTACATAATATATCAAATATTCCGTTATTATTCGTTCAATTTTGCTCATAAGGTCTTTGACCTCTAGCATCTGTTTTGTGTTATTATTAACAACTGTTTTGGTTCTCTTTGTTGTGTTTTGTCCCGACAGGCAGCAGAGTCAGGATGCTGATGTTCCCCACTGGGCTGATGGCTCTGAGCGCCTCCATGTTCTACCCACAGCATGCCGCTTCTGTTGCCAGGGCAAGTTTACAGTTCTTTTCTGTTCAGATGGACAGAGTCAGTTGTTGTTTCTCAGCAGACTGTCCAGTACAGACAGCAGTAACTGAGGTTTTGAATAATGTAGTATCAACTACTGTACTTGTGTCCTGGAATATTAACAGCACTTGTCTGGAGGAAATTCAGTCTGTGAATTGTGTGTTCAGATAGTCAGTGGTCCTTCCTCTTTTTTCCTGTGCGGCTGTCTATAAGTGTAAAACTAAAAAGTGGAGGGATATTTTGAGAATTTTTCCATGGATAAGCTCAGTCAAATAAAGTGAATAATAGACTACTCCCTGCCGCACAGGAAAAACACTGAAAATTAGATGAAGACTAATGAGCATGTTTTAATGTTTTTCACAGATTTTACCAAATTTAAATATCAGACGTTAGTCCACTGATGATTGGTAGTATGAATGACTGTTTTGTTTTGTTTTTCAAAATTAATGTTTTTTTATTTTATTTTTTTAATAGACCACAAAACACTGCATATTTTCCTGGGGTTCAGAAGGGCGAGTTGTTTTGGAGGAGATGCTGAGAGGGAAATCATCATCCAAGGACAAAGTGAGGAGAAATCTGATACTCGGCACAGTGTTGTACTAGTTTTTCCTCTTCCAAGACAGTTCATACAGTGCTAATGTCTTGAGCAGATTCACTCTAAATGTCTTAAATGAAAAGGTTTATTTGCCTTACTATGACACATTGCGGAAGAAACCTTCAGAAACATAAACTATTGTTCAAAAGTATGGGCTTGGTAAGATTTTTTTCCCATGTTTTTGAAATAATCTTATGCTTATCAAAGCTGCGTTCATCTAATTAAAAACACAGTGAAACAGTAATATTGTGAAATAATTAAAAATATTCCAGTCTTTAGTGTTACATGATCCTTCAGAAATCATTCTAATGTGCTGATTTGGAGCTTAAGAAACTTTTTTATTTATTTTTTTGTCGTCAATGTTGAAAAGTTGTGTGATGATTTATTTAACATTAAGATCATCCTAGAAGTTGTGAAATAAACACTTTTGCTGCACTGTAAACTTTTACCTTTTTCTTTCTAGGTTGAGAAGACACAGAAAACAGCCAGCCAAAAATCAAGTTGAGACAGCAGTAAGTTTTATTAGGAGTTCCTGCTTTGCACCTGGATTCTGTTCTCTTATCAGTGCACTGATCAGTTTTGGTATTTGCTATATTATTGTGTTGGTCGTGTTTACTGGGACTGTATATTTGTGTTTTCTGTGCAATGTATAAATGTACTTTTGCACATAAATGTACACTGCAGCAGTAAGCAGTTGGACCAACCTGAAAAAGAGAGCTACATACCTGACTTGCACTGAAAATTCCAGACATTTTTCAACAACTCAGTGATTTTTAGGTCTTACTGATGGTTCCAATTGTATTTCCAGAATTTTCTATACCAGTGTTGTTGCATTCTCTAGAACTTTCCTGTGCCACTATACAAAGATCAAACTTAAAACTTGCATAAGTTTTTATAATCTTCACACACTTATGATTTCACAAACCTCATTAATAAGAGTCTGTCCCATGTATCATGAACCTAGTCTGGACATAAACAAAGGGATATTCTGCAAAGTACAGTATTCTCCAGGAAAGTTATGCAGTGCATTCTGTGTTCATTCACTATACAGTGCAGATAGTCTGTGTTTTTATCCTTTTATCACTATGACTTTGACCACTATGACTGGGAGGAAAGCCTGAAGGTGTTAACTTATGCATATAATAAGGGCCGTAGCTAGGGAATTCTGGGCCCCCTGAAAAAATATTGATGCGGGCCCCCTAACAGGTGAGGTAAACGTTCAGGAATGTGAAAGAATGCAGTCACATGTAAAATAAAACCACTTAAAATGATAATTTTCTTCATTTTTGATGAAGATAACATGCTACTGCATAATATTTTATTAAATAAAGTTAATAAATGTGTCCCATCAGTGCAGTGAGTTGTATTTGCGTTTTTTTTATTTACTTCTTTTTTTTTTTTTCCAACGGTGTTATCATCTTAAATATAGGCTATCACATCTGAAACAATCCATGTGAACTCATGCAATCGTTCGGCCGGTGAGCGCCAGTATAATGAGATGTCCCGGCATGACGGCACGGGCAGCAGCTCTTAGATGTCCTATTCCTGCAAAAGTAAATCGGGCAGCGAAATGATCAGGTGCACGGCATCCAATCACAACGACATCCCTACAGTGCACTACCTTGTCTTGCAAAAGAATGTTTGATGTAAGCAAGTTTCCTCCTGGCCTCCCTCTCCTTTTCATGACGTTACTGGTACCCCGATTTCCCCCCCAGCATTTTCAGTCAGTCTCATTTCCACTGTAGCTTTACTTGTAACTTCAACTGTTCTCGGATCAGCCTGAACTCTGATTGGTTCTTTTCACTAGCTGGGGTGGGTCCTGCGATTTTGTTGGGTCCCTCTCATTTTTGTAGCTGACTGAGCTGAAATTATTAACATCAGACTAAACCATTTTTATGGAGGGGAGAGAGGAGATATTTGGAAAGCATTTTTAACTAAATTACATGTTTTTGAGGTTTTCATTAAACTCTCAGGCATACAAGCTGACTTTGTAAAATATATCCTAAAATGATTCATATAAGAGTAGTGGAATATATAGCATTACTACTGGATTTAGTGGGACCCTTGGGCAGTGGGGGCCCCTATAATTGTCACCACCTTTCACCCCACTAGCAACGGCCCTGCATATAATCAAATACAAGACATGACTTTTTCCTTTCCTTTTTTTAGATTTTTTATGCATTAAATTAGATACAAATAAAAGACTATTCATAATATACTCTGACATACAAACTACAGAATATGATTGAAATATAAGGATGAATACAAGCACTGTAACTTAATCTCAGAGTAAATTGCTGTTTATTAATATGATTAATACCCAAAGTGTATTTAAATGCATTTTATGTAAGGATTAAAGTATTATTTAAACTAAACAATGGTTGTGAGCCATCCCTAGTCTCTCCTTGAACACTTGAACTCCGGCACAGCTCACTCATAGGCAGACATTTTCAGGAGATTCTCCTTATCGATCCTGAAAAGTCGCCATCCCTCCTGCAGCGAGAGGTCGGAAGCCCCACGTCGCTTGTAAAAGTCAATGGATGCTTTGTTGGACTCAGCCACGATGAAATGCATGCTGCTGCACCGATTCTTCACGGCTGTCTGCAGGTGGAAACAGAACTGTTTATGGTTGCGTCTAGATGTGTAATGCATAAAATCATTTAAAGACAACATAAAACACATTTCTGTGGTCTATTTTGAGTTTGAAACTACTTGCTTATACTAATTTTGTGTCAGGAATTACACAGTTTTGTATCCATCTTTGTCTTTAATGACGCAAACTGCACATACAACAAATGTAAACAGGATGGCTTACATCACTGAGGGTTTTCAGGATTTCAGACCCAATTCCAAAACCTGTGAAGCATGAAACTGGTCAAGGGAATTTAGGAAGCAACTAGTTTCATAAAAGACACCTTAATAACACACCCTTACCTCTGTACTCTTTCATTACATAAAAATCTTCAAGGTACAGCAGTTTGCCAATCCAAGGGTCATAGGTGAAGTAGTACATGGCAAATCCAATCACAGAATAACCTGTAAGTGAACACTGGTGTCTTACACAAATGCATTACTTTACATTACATGCTTATGCAAGAAAGTAAGAATATATTTATATATATTAAAAAAAGACATGATAAAACGTTCAACATTACATTTTATTTCTATTGGTCTACCTATAAACAGTCTATTCCGCTATTCAACAGGTTGAAGTTCACTAAAGATCATCTTTGTCTTGATATTTACCCTCGACTTTCTGATGCTCGGCTGGCACGTCTGCGACCACACAGTGGTAAAACGGGTGATCTCCGAATCCGTCATCGAGCAGATCTAAACAGAACTTTTGTTGTCACTCCAGGCCAACTACTTATCAAATTTAACATTTGATACATTATGTAATTTCACCTTTCTCAGTTAATATAACTTGGTCTTCCATTTCTTCATACTTGGCGAGTTCCTTTAGAAGGCAGAAAGGAATGCTGTTTGAACTTCAACTTGTTTGAAAGTTCTGTAGGCGGTGGGCCTATAGGGGCTTGTTTTCGTGCAGGGTCATATTTGGATACTCTTATCAATATCATGAGACCTTTTGAAATAATTTAACATTAATATAAAATCATAATAGGTATGACATTAACTTTTAATATTGTAACATGGGACAGCACACCAAATAAACTCATTTTAAGGCATATTTATACACTTTTTAAAAGTTTCTACAGCATATTCTGCTACCCTAAATAATGTACTTCAAATATAGGCTACACATGCAATTAAACCGGTGTGAAATCTACCTTTATGAGTCGCAATATGTCAGGCACGTCTTTTGGCTCTGCTTTACGCAAATTAAAATTGGCCATTTTCTTCTTTTACTCTTTTTCCCTTTTCTCACTAGTCCTCTATATGTGAAGAGAAGCAAAAGGTGTTTCTTCATTCGCTTCCCAGAATATTACCCTCCGCTGTCAAATTTGGGCTTCTCCTGGATGGGAATCGCATGCAGCAGCTGACCCCACTGTGTTCACCCGGCTTTAGTAAATGTCCAAGTATGTTTATCAACTCGGGCATATATTTGCCGGTGGGGGAGGGGTCTGGTTACCGTAATAACTATCACTATAGTATATCACTATAGGAATGTATGTATTTTCTACTGAAATGTAGTTCGTTTGAAGGACATTTCCTCCTGAATAATGTAGAAGACGTGTAAATCCATGTAAAATGTTGTTTTAAGACCACATTTTAGCATTTTTATGTCTCTCTGACAACATTGAAAATTCCAAAACATAACGGCCGTAATTACGGTAGAAGTTGGCCGGTTAGTGAGGAAGAAATCTTTTATATGCGCCTTTAAAACGGTTAGTACGGTAGACCGGCCGCGCCTGCGTTCCAGGAAGTGAAAATCACTGTCAGTTAAGAAATTTGTCATTTATGCAAGAAGCGAGCTGTTGTATGTCTCACGAAATCATTGTTGTTATACAATAAAGTGGTGAGACAAGAACAAGGAAGATGTTTTCTCCGCGGTGAGTTTTACAGTTCTGTCTTGCGTCACGCATTTGTTGTGAACTCATCATTTCATGCATGAAGGATTCCAGACCAGCCTGGGACCCTTTTTTTTCTTTTTACATAGTTTCTTTAATTAAGGGTTTCATACTTTTGTGATTTTACCATTAGCAGTTTTGTGAAGTACATTTTTCAAGTCAGCTCTCTCCTCCCATGTCTTTGCTTTATGTAAAGGGTCCTGAAGTCTGCATCATCCTTAATGTGCAGAGGGGTTTCCACGGGTCAAATGTGGAAAGCAGCAGATATGGCTGAGGGTAATTATTAAAAAAATTCATAAATAAAATGTTTAACTCCTAACCCACCCAACACTTTTAACCTAGTCAGTCTAAGGCAATGAAATATTGTCAGTGTGTGTACTAGTTATCACGGTGAAACTTTTGAACGCTTACTTTCCTTCTCATAATTCACATGAAATTATTGCCTAATTATTATTATTATATATACACTGTAATCATTATAATAATTTCCCATCAATGTGTGTTCCTGACCCATTTTTATGTCCCCACAGGAAACACATTTTTACTTGTGAGCAATGGTAAAACGAAAGAACATTTACTCTCTTTGATATTCTTAGAAAGTCTCTTTTCTCATGTGGCTTAATAAACACTGTCCTGCTGTTATTTCATGGTTTGTGTGCATGAAGTTCTTTGTACTTTCACATCTAGTGTTTTTTTCTTCAAATGCCTTCACCCTGTGAGCGGCCTGTTCATGCAGACTAGTCTTGGTTCCTTTCTAATACATCGTTTCTGCTGACTAGTTTTTTTCTGTGTCTCCATATTATATTATGGGGTGATACAAATGCTGCTTTGCTTTTCATTCCAACACTACTCTTAAGTACATACATTATGTGATGTCTCGGTACATCTTTAAAGCTCCATTTTGTTCCTCCTTATTTTCCCAGTTCGCAACAGGCTGCGGGAGATAGTTGGAGCGTCCACCAACTGGAAGTATGTTACTGTATTTACACTTATGTTATTCCTTCTGCAGAATGTCACCAGTATGTTACCACTTTGCATAAAATGTTGTATTGTCTCCATTTTGTTGTACAGAGATCATCAACAAGCATTAGCTGAGCGTACATCACTAAGCCAGTATCTTGCTCAGAGTCAAGATGAACTTCCAGCAAAGACAATGAAGGACAGTGCAGTTGAGGCGCATCTTCCTCTGGGTTCCCAGCCTACCTTGAGAGAGAAATACCTCAACTATCACAACAGTGTCAGGTGCTAAAAGACCACCACTTCTCACCTGGAGCAAATACAAAAAAAAAGTCCACTTACGTTGTTCTGAGTGTTTTTTTTCTTTCTACAGGTTATCTTAAGGGTTTTCCATTATTTTAATTTTAGTTTGTTTCACATAAAAATACCATGCATATTTTTACTTTTTTATTTAAAGAAGAAAACCAATGTATAGTTGACATTTGAGCCTTGATGCTGTAGAAAAGCAATAAACGTTTTCCATATAAAAATGTGGCAAAAAACTATTCAAAACATCATTCAGTGTAAATTGTGATAATCGTAATTAATAATTGCAATTACAATTTAAAGGGAATAATAGACAATTATAATTTTTGTCATAATCGTGCAGCCCTAACCTGCAGCATAAATTCCTGGTTTCTTGTCTGTTTTTAAATTAGTGGCATTCAGAAATATCAAACTTCACAACCAGTCATTTTTGAATATTCATTCTGATCCGAGTACATTTTCTTTTGCTTAAATACCTTTTTCTCAACAGGTTTGGAAGGATTTTGGAGGACTTGGACAGTTTAGCTGGTAATAAATACATCTTAAAAATATAGGTTCCGAAAGCGGGGTTTCACAGTGATTCCATTAAAGAACCCTTTTATGTTCCTCAAATACCTTTTCAGTGAACATTTCTTAAAAGAACCATTTTTCTCAGTGTAAAGAACATTTTAATAATCTAAATAACCTTTTTCCGTGGTTAAGAACCTCTTGTGCAATGGAAGGGTTTCATGGATGTTAAAGGTTCTTCATTTGATCTTAGATGCCAATAAAGAACCTTTATTTTTTAAATAGGAGATATAGATAATCACAGCAGTATTGGCTGATCATAACTTGCTCTGTCTTATCACATACCGTCTCATTCTTGTCTCTTAGTGCTCATCTGTTATTCTCACACATGGAATAAGGAGCTGAAAAGATCTCCACTGTCTATCGTCACCGCCCTAGTGGACAAGATTGGTATTACTACTTGAATTAGTAGACTTTTTTTTTTTTGGTTGTTGTTGTTAAATTGATTCATTAAATTTAGTTTTCTTACTTCACAGACATGAGAAAAAACATCATCTACCCCGACTGTGACATTAAGTTCACAGGTCATGTGACGTGGGTTGGCAAAACCTCAATAGAAGCTAAAATGCATGTGTCTCAGGTATTCCTAAAGTCTGTTTATGAAACATGTATTATATGTTGCACATAAAAGTGTCATTGAACTTAAACGAACCATTTTCACAGTATCATGATGGGGCGTACACCGATGTATTAGATGCCACATTTGTAATGGTGGCTCGAGATCCTGAAAACGAAAGGTAACGTTAAACCTGTTGGTATGATCGACAAATCTATGATTGCTGAATTGTGTCTGTAAATGTGTACTGGCTATGTACTGTTTATCCAGGGCAGCTTTTATAAACCCACTAAAACTAGAGAGTCCAGAGGAAAAGGCAATTTTTCAACAAGGAGAGAGTGAGTAGCGCTTTTGTTTGTTTGTAATCACAATTGCTACTTCAATTTGAAGCATTTAGAGCAAGACCGATGCTCTTTATATTGATCAGTTAACAAGACGAGGCGTGTGGAGCTGAGCACAGCCTCTCTTCTGAAAGTGGCCCCTGCAGCTGAGGAGAGGACTCTCATTCACAACCTGTTCCTCAACACTCTAGACACACGGTCAGATTTATTAACACTACACAGTTATAAATCTGTGCCTTTATTTTTTGCCCATTTCTTAACAGTATTTACCTTCTTCCTATAGAACTGTCAGCTTTCGGAGTCGTATTTTATCAACTAACTCCGTGTGGATGGAAGATGCCAAAATGAAAGGGCTTGAGATTTGCCATCCACAAGTAAGTATTTTTTGCAATACTTCATCGATTAAACTGACAGTGTCAATTAGTACATTTGCGTAATGTGCTAATGTACTTTCTTTATTCTTTACATTATACAGGAAAGAAATATCTTTAACCGGATATTTGGTGGTTTTTTGATGAGAAAAGCCTATGAACTTGGTTGGGCGAATGCCTGTGCATTTGCGTAAGAGATTCCCCTTTGCTATCTATTGAATATTTACTGTAAAGAAGTCTTTCCATTCCTTTACATGGCTGTATTTGTATCTTTCAGTGGTTGCAGACCAACGCTGGTGGCTGTAGATGACATCATATTTCGAAAGCCAGTAGAAATTGGTTCTTTGCTATTGCTGTCCTCACAGGTTTCTAAATTGTTAAATGCATTAATTTGTAGCCATTTTTTCCCTTCAGAATAAGATTGATGATAATACTGTGGTGTCAGGTTTGTTACACAGAAGGGATGCACATCCAGGTCAGGGTTCACACGGAGGTGCTTGACCCATTGACCCGGCAACACAGCACCACAAACGTATTTCATTTCACTTTTTGCGTTGAGAAGGATATCCCAGCTGTTGTACCACAGAGCTATGGAGGTCAGATACAGATTTTTACAAATATTGTTACTTTGTATTTTAATGGTATTACCTGTAACTTAATATTGTTGCCATTTGCAGAGTCTATGCTTTACCTGGATGGAAAGAGGCACTTTGATGAGACCATGAGGAGCCAAGGTTGAGCATCTGGGATGTGCCGGGATGAAACTTTAAATTTTTTAGTTCCGTTCATTTTATATTCACAATATTTTTTATTGTTCGCTGCATTTTACATAAATGTAAAATATTATTTTTCACAATTTTAAACTTTGAGTGGGAGAGGAGCATTTAGTGAAATGGTTTTGCAGTGAAAGGTGTTTTTTTTTTATTTTATGCATCTTGATTGTGGTAATATTAAACCTATTTAGTCATTAAGACTTATAACAGACCATGTTCTGTTTGCACTACAATGCAATTCATAAGGAGATATGACAAAACTCTTAAACCAAGTGATTTTGGTTGTACTGTTACTGATCTGAATGCAGTCAAAGCGATTCATGAACAACTGGTACCTTGGAAAATGATATACAGTATTTGCACAAATTCTAAGAATAAGTCCCGTCTTCCTTCCTTGATCTCCTCAAAAGGAAACGAGGAGATCTGAAACTTGAGATCAAATTATGAGAGCACTGCCTCACCAAACACTCCAAAAACTTTACCTAACTTATTTGGTTTAGAGCGCATCGTATGAATAAGAATCAGGTTTTGCTGTTATATGCATATGTTTCAGAATGCTGACAATTTGGCTTGTATATAAACATCCGTTTTTGCATTATTATTTTAAATGCAACAAACAACCATGGACTTTTGCAAAAGATGGTAGTATGAACCTAGAATGGACTCTGTAAGAAGTTAACGTGTAAACAAAAAAAAAAAATTATATGAAAGGAAGTAGGTTCAGGGAGATTTATAATGCCTTTCATGTACACACTACCTGTACCGGAATGGCCAACGAATGCATGCCTTTTCAATGTTTTTGTTCACAAAATGTGTTTACCATCATTTATTTTTAAAATACTTGTATTATTTTACGTTTGTATGAGTATTCTTGTTTGTTTCTTATAAATACAGAGCATTAAATATGCTTATTTACATCTGTATTAGTGGACTAACACTAATAATGCACATTTCAGTGTAATCTCTTTTTATTTATTCCATGAGCGAAAGTGTCCAATGCTATTTGTCTGGTCATGTGATCTAAACAGTGGTCCCCGTGAGGCGACCCGCTCCATGTAAAATAAAAAAAAATAAAAGTAAATATTGTATTAGGGTGCTTATGACTGGGGTCTTCATCACATGTGAGTGTACCATTTAAATAATTTTGTACTATTCTTTTATTTGTTTAAAACATTGTACTGAGGAAACAGTCGGTGAGCAATCTCAAGCGTTGTCCTGACAGTTGCTGCCACCGAGTGACAAACTCATGAAATTGCAAGTGTGATAGATGGCTGCTACGTCATGACGCTGTTATATTTGGTCACGTTGAGACAGCGAGTAAATTAATATTGTTGCCATTTGCAGAGTCTATGCTTTACCTGGATGGAAAGAGGCACTTTGATGAGACCATGAGGAGCCAAGGTTGAGCATCTGGGATGTGCCGGGATGAAACTTTAAATTTTTTAGTTCCGTTCATTTTATATTCACAATATTTTTTATTGTTCGCTGCATTTTACATAAATGTAAAATATTATTTTTCACAATTTTAAACTTTGAGTGGGAGAGGAGCATTTAGTGAAATGGTTTTGCAGTGAAAGGTGTTTTTTTTTTATTTTATGCATCTTGATTGTGGTAATATTAAACCTATTTAGTCATTAAGACTTATAACAGACCATGTTCTGTTTGCACTACAATGCAATTCATAAGGAGATATGACAAAACTCTTAAACCAAGTGATTTTGGTTGTACTGTTACTGATCTGAATGCAGTCAAAGCGATTCATGAACAACTGGTACCTTGGAAAATGATATACAGTATTTGCACAAATTCTAAGAATAAGTCCCGTCTTCCTTCCTTGATCTCCTCAAAAGGAAACGAGGAGATCTGAAACTTGAGATCAAATTATGAGAGCACTGCCTCACCAAACACTCCAAAAACTTTACCTAACTTATTTGGTTTAGAGCGCATCGTATGAATAAGAATCAGGTTTTGCTGTTATATGCATATGTTTCAGAATGCTGACAATTTGGCTTGTATATAAACATCCGTTTTTGCATTATTATTTTAAATGCAACAAACAACCATGGACTTTTGCAAAAGATGGTAGTATGAACCTAGAATGGACTCTGTAAGAAGTTAACGTGTAAACAAAAAAAAAAAATTATATGAAAGGAAGTAGGTTCAGGGAGATTTATAATGCCTTTCATGTACACACTACCTGTACCGGAATGGCCAACGAATGCATGCCTTTTCAATGTTTTTGTTCACAAAATGTGTTTACCATCATTTATTTTTAAAATACTTGTATTATTTTACGTTTGTATGAGTATTCTTGTTTGTTTCTTATAAATACAGAGCATTAAATATGCTTATTTACATCTGTATTAGTGGACTAACACTAATAATGCACATTTCAGTGTAATCTCTTTTTATTTATTCCATGAGCGAAAGTGTCCAATGCTATTTGTCTGGTCATGTGATCTAAACAGTGGTCCCCGTGAGGCGACCCGCTCCATGTAAAATAAAAAAAAATAAAAGTAAATATTGTATTAGGGTGCTTATGACTGGGGTCTTCATCACATGTGAGTGTACCATTTAAATAATTTTGTACTATTCTTTTATTTGTTTAAAACATTGTACTGAGGAAACAGTCGGTGAGCAATCTCAAGCGTTGTCCTGACAGTTGCTGCCACCGAGTGACAAACTCATGAAATTGCAAGTGTGATAGATGGCTGCTACGTCATGACGCTGTTATATTTGGTCACGTTGAGACAGCGAGTAAATATGTTTTTTCCTACTTATTTTGTATATATCCCATATATCAATCTAGAGCATGTATAATTGTATGCTAACATGTTAGGTTTCACCTCTATTGCTCAATGATCTCTTGGAAAAAGGTTCTAAACAGTAATACGTTAGAAACTCAGTAGCCCCTCTAGAAACTGGCCGTCTGATTGTTCGTTAAAAGTGCGCACTTAACAATTAGTACGGTGCGCGGAGGATCGGGAAGCGAATTGATACCGTCTGCAAGTTCAGATCTGCCTTTGATTTGAATAAAGTTCCTGCTGTTCTACAAAGTGGTGAGAGAAGAACAATAAAATGTGTCCACGGTGAGTGTTACATCTGTATCTTCTGACTCGAATGTAATCTGTAAGACACGTGTTCTAGTTTTTTTTTTTTATCTGCTAAAAGTTTCCTATTTTCTTGTTAATGCATTTTTCACCCTTAGCAGGCTCTCATGACTCTATTTTCATTTCAGCTCACTTTTGTATAGGGTCCTGAAGTCTGCCGTGTCCTTCACGTGCAGGAAGTTTTCATGTGCAGGGAAGGTTCCTGATATGGCTGAAGGTAACTGCTGGAATAGACAAGTTATGCAGTACCTTTTGAATATGTTTCATAAAAATATATAGCAGACCTTTAAAAATCCATTGCTAATAGTTAAAAACTTTTATTGTTTTCCCACCAACAATGATGTCACTTCTTGGAGAATTATTTTTTTTTCTTCTTGTAAGCAATGGTGAACTGGAAGAAATGTAAATTTCCTTGTCTATTTTTTCCCCCTTTATTAATTCTGAATGCATATTGAGCTCTTGAAAGTTATTCTTAGACTTCCTTAATGTCTGCATGTGTCCGCTCTTTTGTTGTTATTTAAAAGTATGCATGCATGTAGCCTTGAGTATAGCTGATGTTTTTCATTTTTGAAATGCTTTTCCCTTTCGTGACCTTATACCTTATCTTTAATTAGCAGCCTGCTGAAGCAGTCCTGTTTTGATTCCTGTCTTTTGCTTCCTGTTTTGCCATGTGTGTCCATTAACCACTTTTCCCCCTTCAGCTTTATTTTCTTAAAGGATTAGTTCACTTCCAGAATAAAAAAATCCTGATTATTTACTGATGTTCATGTCTTTCTGTCTTCAGTCACAAAGAAATTAAGGTTTTTGAGGAAAACATTCCAGGATTTTTCTCCATATAATTGACTTCAATGGTGGCCAACCAGTTGAAGGTCCAAATTGCAGTTTCAGTACAGCTTCAAATGGCTCAACACGATCCCAGCCGAGGAATAGGGGTCTTATCTAGCGAAACGATCAGCCATTTTCTAAAAAAAATAAATAAAATGTATATACTTTTTAACCACAGATGCGCATCAGCAAATTCACGTATTTATGTAATCACGTTGGAAAGGTCACGCGCGGTTAGCTCTTCGTCTGTGTACACTGGTTCAAAAAGGTAGGGTAGGGTGAAAAACTTCATCTCATTTTCTTCTCCAACTTCAAAATCGACATTGTTGTTTTACCTTTTTTTGTAAAGGGAATTTGACTTTCTTTGCACGTTCGCTTTGTAAACACTGGTTCGGTACTTCCGCCTACGCCACGCGTGACCTTTCCAATGTGACTACGGAAAGTGTGAAGTCGAGCTAGTGCTAGAGCATTTGTGGGTAAAAAGTATATGCATTTTTATTTTTTTAAGAAAATGACTGATCGTTTTGCTAGCTAAGATCCCTATTCCTCTGCTGGGATTGTGTTGAGCCCTTTGAAGCTGCACTGAAACTGCCATTTGGACCTTCAGCCCATTGGCCACCATTGAAGTCCAATATATATGGAGAAAAATCCTGGAATGTTTTCCTCAAAAATCTTAACCCTTTATGGCATGACTTTTTATTCATGGGGGAAAAAATATTTCACCTCATTTTTTGGGAGCTTGGGGATCCCTGATAATATATCCATCATAAAATTTGTCGCCTCAGAGCAACAATGTGCCATAAGGGTACTAAAACCCCAAGGTTTTCTATATATGTATATTAAAGAAAACAAGCAATATATGCATTAGAAAAAGTTATTATTTTGATAAACATCAATCACAAATTATTCCAAACCAACCAAAAACATCAAACAATCAAATAAACAAACTACTACTAATTACAACACTTCATGTATAAATGTTCCTCATATTACATATTACCATATACTGTAAACCAACATCCAAATGTCTGTGTGTGTGTGTGTGTGTATGTGTGTGTCACTGCGTGTGTGCCACTGCGTGTGTATGCCACTGTGTGTGTGTGTGTGTGTTTGAAGATAAAGTTTGCCAGAAAACACTACTCATTTAGTCAGTTTATCTTCTGATAGGCTTGATTCACTGTGGCAGCATAATAATAATAATAATAAATATCAATTACACACATAATGCACATTAAACTCTTTGAGTTTTCAGAGCTCGTAAACAAAATTCATAGGAGCACTTGAATGCACCATATGGTTCTAATATGCATCCACACTTTAGTATGATAGCAGGGCTCGACGCTTACTTTTCTTTTTAGGAGCACTTGTGCTCCTAACTTAAAAAATTTAGGAGCAAGTTCAAAATTTTAGGAGCACCTTCTAATCAATAATCCAAAATGTTATCAAAAAGTAGCCTTCCCATTACGAGGTAATATTTGACTCCTCTAACTTTATTAAAAGTATGTCATCATCTGTCAAATTCTTTAAAAAATTATATTTTATAAGCTTCTAAAAAATTTTTTATTAAAATGACAGAATAAGAACAAGTAGAATAAGGAATATAAGTTACCGATCAAATGAAATCAGTATTAACAAAATTAATTTGTAGAGGTGGCACAGAAGAACACAAAAGTGGCTTGATGTACTTTCAGACATTTAATGAGGTTCAGAAGTGGAATGAGTGCAATTAAATCCATAAATTCATGATGATACTACTGTTTTAAATATACAATTTTGAATATAGAAATATTAAATGATTTAAATAACTGAAAAGATACTTTAAAAATGAAACAAAAAATGATTTTAGCAAATGGCTGCAATATAACAAAGAGTGAAAAATTTAAGGGGGTCTGAATACTTTCCGTACCCACTGTATATATATATATATTTTTTTTTTAAAAAAAGGGGGGGGGGTAATGCCGTTGTCATAATATTGACCTTAAATTGACCAACTCTTTAGTGTAAAGCTTATCTGTATGTGTTTCTAATACCAAAACTGACAGGCTAACCGCTTTAATGTGTGATGTCTCATTAAAATACATTTTGGTCTTTTTTATTTTTTTATTTCACAGTTCGCAACAGGCTGAGAGAAATAGTCGGTGCATCTACCAACTGGCAGTATGTTCCTGATATAACATATTACACTCATTAAATATTATGCAAATCAATTAAAAGTTCAGCTCGACAAATCTCTGAAATTTACATTTTATTATGTATTTTCTCCATAACACAGAGATCATCAGCAAGTGCTGGCCGAGCGTACAT